TTCTTTCTCTGTCTCTGTCTCTGTCTCTGTCTCTGTCTGTCTGTCTGTCTGTCTGTCTGTCTGTCTGTCTGTCTCTCTCTCTCTCTCTCTCTCTCTCTCTCTCTCTCTCTCTTTGGTGGAACCAGGGATTGAACTCAGGCCCTTGCACTTGCCAGGCAAGCGCTTATTCTATTGAGCTTTCTTCCAGCCTTTTTTTCTCTTTATATTTGATCTACTTTCATGTTTCATTTTGTTTTGTTTTTGGTACCAGGGATCGAACTCGGGACCTTACATTTGCCAGACAGATGCTTATGCCACTTAGCTGTATCCTGAGCTCTGATTTGTTTTCATGTAGTATTTATGTCATGAACACACTTGCCCTGCCTGGTGCGGGGCTTGCTAAGACTTCCGTTCTTGGCTTCCCACTGTAGTGCCTTAGTGAAGGAGCAGCTGCTGAGGAAGCAGGCTGAGTTAGAATCTGCACAGTGCCGGCTCCAGCTTCAAGTCCTCACTGATGAATGCAGCAGACTTCGCACTCGTGTCCAGGTGAGCCTGCCCTTCAGTGCGCAGAGCTGGAGTCAGCGTTAGGAGGAGGGCTGGGGCGTGTACTAGGTATGAGTAAGGCTCTAGGTTCATCCTCCCAACAAAAATTTAAGAGAAATCTAAGTTTTTATTTTTTATTTTTTTTATTTTTTTTTACATCCCCCCAATCTAAGTATTTTTTAAGCTCATCTCAAACACAAACAAGATCTGCCATTATTTAAGAAGCATGAAAAAAAAATAAAAAATTGTGCCCAGTTCATTTTCTTTCTGATTGCAGCATTTATCGTAACACTTAAGGGTGAATTCTACTGTAGTCAGAATTATTTTTTGGAGACTAGCAAGATAGCCCAGTGGACTGAGCACCTATCTCAGTTGCCATCACAGCACGCCCCGGCGGCATGGCTGGCACAGCATGCTGGGAACTGAACCCCGGTCCCTGCGTCTGCTTAAGTAGGTGCTTTAGTCCACTGAGCTATCTGGCCAGTCTATACTTTGTTTTGAAATAAGATCTTGCCATACATAGTTGGATCAGACATAGTAGGATCTTGGCCCTCAACTCCCCAGGCTGGCCTCAAATTTGGAGCAATCCTCCTGCTTTAGCCTCCTAAGTACTAAGATTACAGGCATGTACCACCATACCTGGCTGTAATTAAAATTTTTAAGAAATTAAGCATACTTGTAATGCCAGTGCTGTGGAATGTTGAGGCAGGAGGATAGCAAATTCAAGCTCAGTATGGGTGACTTAGCAACCTCAGTGAGGCATGGTCTCTAAAAATGGCTGTGGAGACCAGCCAGATAGCTCAGCAGATTAAACCACCTGCCTAGGCAGAGCACAGCAGCTGGGGTTCGATCCCCAGCCAGCACAGCCCCCAGGGTGTGCTGAGATAGCAATTGAGTGTGGTGGTGCGCCTATAATCCCAGTGCTTGGGAGGCTGCAAATAGGAGAATCACTATGAGTCCAGTATACAGAGTGAGATCCTGTAGACCCTGTTTTTGTTTTTTGGTGGAACCAGGGATTGAACTCAGCCCCTAGCACTTGCCAGGGAAGCGCTTATTCTACTGAGCCATCTCCCCAGCCCCCATACTTACTTACTAAATGAATAAAATAAAATAAAATAGCTGGGGAACCAAAGGATGGTAGCGCATGTCTGTATTCCATTTCTGGGGAGACAGAGGCAGGAGGATTGCTGAGAGTTTGAGGCCAGCCTGGGCTGTGTAGTGAGTTTAAGACCAGCCTGGACTTGAGACTCTTTCCCCCGCACCAAGAAAAACTATACAAACTCAGTTCTCTAGGATTCATGATATTTTCGTATAATGGACAAGAAATCTTGCATAAGCTCAAGATAATGTTTTTGAAGGGGATGTTAGCAAAAAGGCTTTGCATTTACAAAATATTTTTAATTTTAGGACTTGCAAAACCTTATGCAGGCACGGGATCAGGTTTCCGGGCAGTGCAGGGGTTCTGGAGTTCCTTTCCTGAACCGCCTGCCTGCCACCCAGAGCCAGCATAAGTACCACCTACAGAAGGCCTTGCCTGTATCTCAGACAGGAAACTGCCGCACCATGGCGTACAGTGGGGCCCTGAGCTGCCTGGTGGTCTCGCAGCCGTCTCCTCAGGCCTCCTTCTTCCCAGGTAAATGGTGAAGCGCCTTCTTTTTTTTTTTTTTTAATTTATTTATTTTATTTGTGTGTGTGTGTGTGTGTGTGTGTGGCCTGCTCAGCCCACCTGGGGGCGGGGCTGGCTGGCATGTGGTGCTGCGGGATTGAACCGCGGTCCTGTTCTAAGTAGGTGCTTTAGACCACTGAGCCATCTCACCAGCCCCGCAAGCGCTTATTCTGAGCCATCTCCCCAGCCCAGGATTCTTTATTCCAAGGGTTAACTGAAATTCAAAAACTTGGGGGCGGGGAGATGGCTCAGTAGAATAAGCGCTTGCCTGGCAAGCCCAAGTGTCTGAGTTCAATATCCGGTTCCGCAAAAAAAAAAAAAGAAATTCAAAAACTTCAGTACTTACATCTAATAGTGTTCAGGTTGACAAACTTGAAGAATTTGTAGACTGTATTATTTTACTAATACATATGTTGATTTTTCTGTCATCTTTTATGCATTTAAAGTAATTGCAGGTTGCCTTAATGTCGAAAACCAAATGTCCACCTGCCTAGGCAGATGCAGGGACTGAGGTTCAATCCCCAGCGTGCTGTGCTGGCTCCACCAGGATGTGCTGCGATGTCAGCTGAGCCTGGGCATGGTGATGTGTGCTGTGATCTCAAAGCTTGGGAGGCTGAGAACAGGAGAATCACTGAGAGTCTGATCTGTGTGGTGAGACCTTGTAGACCCTGTACTAAATACAGAAAGAAAGAAAGAAAGAGACCAAAGAAACCAAATGTCCGTAGCTGGCAGGCAGTAGACAGAAACAGCGTGTCCCAGGGGCACACGTGTAATCATAGCACTCAAGAGGCTGAGGCAGAAGAATTACAAAGTTTGAGACCAGCCTGGGGCTACATAGCAAGATCGTATCTCAAAAAACAAACGAAGTCAAATACTCTCATATACCAAATTGAATTGTTCTTAAATGTTGGGAATGTTTTTACTATTGTAGGTATGATTTCGGCCATCTTTGAGATTCCTTCACCTTTATTTTCTCTTTCACCACTTGAAGTTTAGTACTTCAAAATTGTGTCCCTCAAACTTAGATGTATATAGGTTTGGGAGCTAAATGTTCCCCTCTAATATTCCTCAAGTTGGGGTGGGCTAAATAGCTCAGTGGATTAAAATGCCGGCAGGGAGTCGCCGCCTTCCAATGAAGTCTGGATGAGCCGAGCTCTGCTTAGGCCGCCACGGCGGCGCCCGCTCACGCCTGCATCCGGGTCTTCCTGCGCTGCTCTCTGCGCGCGGCGGAAGGCGGCAGGAGGCGTGAGGGACGGGCTATCGCGGCAGGAGCGGCGGCAGCGGCGACGGGGGTCGGCCTTTGCGAGTCTGAGGAGGCTGATTCTTTGCTCATCTTATTTGAAGCTCTACTATTTGTCAAAATCCATGTTTGGAAGTGGATGGACTTATCCTTCATCAGAGCCTGGCAATAGCAAGATACCTGATCAAAAACACAGGTATTGAATTATTTTTTCCTGCAACAACACAAACTCTTTAAGTCAAGGAGAGCTTGGCATGAAGAATTTCAAGTCCTAAAAGAAACAACCTCCAGCCCAGATTGATGTACACCACAAAACTAGGCTTCAAAATTGAAGGAGAATTAAGATGCTTTCCCACAAAGAAGAGCTGAAGAAATCCATGGCTGACAAACCGGCACTCCAGTATGTTCTGAAGTACATTTTGGAAAGAAATAACAAGGACTACAACTGTATGAACCACAGCAGAAAGAATCCACCAGGCAAGGAAGGAGAAAAAAAAACATTTACTCAGTGATATCCTTCCTTCTAGTCTGGCTGACAAAAAAAGAAAGGAAGGGACTTTTGTCTACACCGAATGCTCTCTAAGGGACCGACCCTAAGTACTTTCACCCACCATATTGATGAGAACAATAATGCAGTTCTCGTTTTTGCTTGATGCCCTTTCTCTCATCCTGTGATTCATTGTCTTTTTCTCTCTCTTTCCTGCTTTTCTCACATACATTTTTTTAAGTAAAACTCTACTTTTCCATTCTTTCAAAGCTTCTTCCTTTTTC